TCTATCTTTCTGTCCGTTTACGGACCTACAGGATATTCCCCAGCAGTCACTGAGGACCGTGGCTTCTGGCTCAGCTTTTTTCTATTTTCTATCCTTTGCTTTCATTCTTAGTGAGTACATCTGTGTTGTTGACACATCCAACACCTTTGTTTATAGTCTATTTTATGTTCACTCTGGAATTCTGTTTTTTAAATCCTCACCCAAGGATATTTTTTCCATTGATCTTTAGAGAGAAAGTGGAAGGGAGGGAGGAAGGCTGAGAGAGAGAAACATCTGTGAGAGAGACACATCGACTGGTTGCCTCTCGCCTGTTCCCTGACGGGCTGGGATTAAATCTACAACTGAGGTACCTGCCCATGATGGGAAGCAAATCCTTAGGTCCGTGGGCTGACTACGGCCCGCGGGCCGGATCCGGCCCGTTTGAAATGAATAAAACTAAAAAAAAAAAAAAAAGACCGTACCCTTTTATGTAATGATGTTTACTTTGAATTTATATTAGTTCACACAAACACTCCATCCATGCTTTTGTTCTGGCCCTCCGGTCCAGTTTAAGAACCCATTGTGGCCCTCGAGTCAAAAAGTTTGCCCACCCCTGCTCTAACCACTGAGCAACCAGCCAGGTTGAATTCTCTATCTTTATTCTACCTTAGTAGCCCTACACTTAGCCATCATACCTTGTCATCCCTTAGAATTGATCACTTTAAAAACAATTTGTTTTCTATTATTTACTCTATTCTCACTAAAGAAATTGAAACTGGTAGTTCTTGTACATTTGTGTTTTGTTTTGTTTTCCTTCTTCCAGTCTGTTAGACTGGCTCCCTTGCCCCTCAGTGGAAACTCTTTGTCCACTGTTCCACTGTGCTCTCATTTGTACCTGAGCAAAGATGTCTGGATATGAATTCTTTCAGCTTCTCACTATTTGAGAACTTCTGTATCTTCATCATTCTCTCTTCCCTTTCTGTTTTTGTGAAGATATCCTTTCTCCCTTTGCTTCCAAAATACATAGTGTTCTATCCCACCCACTTCATTTGCTCTGTAGTCTTGCTTCATTAGTTATCCTCTTGTTTGCTTAAATCATTAATTTCTCTACCTCAGACTCTTATTTTGTCTTCAGTAACCATTTCAAATTGCATTTTTCTTATGTAGTCTTTACTGATCTAATGAGAATTAAGTGTACTTTCTTCTGTACTTTGTACTTCTGTTATGAAAATTAGTATTTTGTTGTTGTTAATCCTTACCCAAGGATATTTTTCCATTGATTTTTAGAGAGAGTGGAAGGGAGAGCGAGAGACAGAGAGAAATACTGATGTGAGAGACACACATCGCCTCCTGCACATGCCTCGACCAGGGCTGGGAATTGAGCCTGCAACCAAGGTATGTGCCCTTGACCGGAATCGAACCCTGGACTCTTCATTCTGCAGGCTAATGCTCCATCCACTGAGCCAAACCAGCTAGGGCTAAAGATTATTTTATTTTGACTAATTGTAACACACTTTGAATATTCAAACCTTCTAATCAAGAAATACTGTATTTTAGCCATAGCCGGTTTGGCTCAGTGGAGAGTGTCAGCCTGCAGGTTGAAGGGTCCCAGGTTCAATTCTGGTCAAGGGCACATGCCCTGGGTGTGGGCTCGATCCCCAGTAGGGGGTGTGCAGGAGGCAGCCAATCAATGATTCTCTTCATCATTGATATTTCTATCTCTCTCTCTGCCTTCCTCTCTGAAATCAATAAAAATATATTAAAAAAGGAAATACTGTACTTTATTCCTAAATCTGTAGCATTGTGAAATAATATGTTTTGAACTCTTTCATTATTGTGATTTTTAGATCATTGAACATATTTCTAAACCCTGATTATTCCTATTCAAGTTACTTTTTGTTAAATTCCATTAACCTTTAGAATTCTAACTGTAATGATGTTAAGTTAAATCATGGACTAATTTTCTCCTGTAACATATTAATAACAAGTGCTGACGAGGATGTGGAGAAAAGGGAACTAGTACCCTGCTGGTGGAATGCAGATTGGTGTAGCCACTATGGAGCAGTGTGGAATTTACTCAAAAAATTAAAAATGCAGCTACTGTGTGACCCAGTGATCCCACTTCTAGGAATTTATCTTAAGAAGTCTGAAACACTCATCAGAAAGAATATTTGCACCCCTATATTCATAGCAGCATTATTTACAATAGCTAAGATCTGGAAACAACCCAAGTGCCCACTAGTAGATGAGTAGATAAAACAGCTGTGGCACATTACACCATGGAATACTATGCAACTGTAAAAAAGAAGGATCTCTTACTCTTTGAGATAGCATGGAGGGACCTGGAGAGTATTATGCTGAGTGAAACAAGCTAGTCAGAGAAAGACAAATATCACATGATCTCACTTATAAGTGGAATCTAATGAATATAATAAACTGGTGAACAAAATAGGTCCAGAGACATGGAGGCATGGAACAGACTGACATATCTCAGAGGGGAGCTGAGAGGGGGATGGAGTTAGGGGAGGAGATGGAAAAAGATTAACCAAAGAACTCATATACATATATGCATAACCAATGGACACAGACAATAGTGTGGTGAAGGCCTGGGGTGGGGCAGGAGCTGGGAGGAGGGAGATGAAGGGGAGGGAAAATTGGGGGATATCTGTAATACTATCAACAATAAAAATTTAGAAATCTCTTATCAGTTGTAACATCACTGCTTCAGCAAAGCCAACTGAAGAAAACTGTGTGTTGTTTCTTATATTCTACCATAGTGATGATGTTCTTATTCCTTTTGTGTCTTAATAGTCAGGTGCTCTTTGGCATTGGTTTCTTTGGCTTCAATTTTTGAATGTAGGGTTTAGTTGTTTCTCTTAATATCTACATAACTTATTTAGAAAGCATTTAGGCTACGAATGGTTCCTGTAACTGGGTCTTGTTTCTATTGATTTATCAAGTATATCCAAAATCTCTACTAGAGCCAAAATAATTTGGAGCCTAACTTTTCTAACTTTGGACCTGGGCTAGGACCCACAGTTTTTTCTCCTTTATTTTCATCTTCAAGGTTTTGTAGAAAGAAACCTCCATTAACTCGTAATCTAACTACAAAGTTAATAACATTCATAAACTTTTAAGGGGAGAAATGCATAGAAAGTTTGAGAGAGTAATAATTTAGCTGATATTACCAGATAGCATGACTAATACTGTCAAAGGAGCAAAGCAAGAGAAAGACTGGCCCTATTCCTTTAGATCAAGAATGTCAGACTCATAGCAGGTGGGCCCCCATGTTTGATATCCTTGCTTTAGATCCATTGTTTCCATCATTTGTATGTAAATACCTCAGAAAGCAGTGGGTCTAGTGGCTTCTTCCATGTCATATTGTCCAGTTATTTTACATATTTAAACTTCTAATCCAGGATTTAGGTTGATTCATTCAATCCATCAGCAAACGTTTATTGAATTTTTTTTTTTTTTAAATATATTTTATTGATTTTTTACAGAGAGAAGGGAGAGAGATAGAGAGTTAGAAACATCGATGAGAGAGAAACATCGATCAGCTGCCTCCTGCACATCCCCCACTGGGGAAGTGCCCGCAACCCAGGTACATGCCCTTGACCGGAATCGAACCCGGGACCCCTCAGTCCGCAGGCCGACGCTCTATCCACTGAGCCAAACCGGTTTCGGCTGAATTTTTATTAGTGTTTAAAGCACAGCCGTGGGCCTTTGAGAATGTTGTCTTTCCAATCAGCAGTTCTAATTGGATTGATAAATATTGATAATGCCAAACTAAAAATAAGTACCAAATGAATTATATTTGAGATAAGTGTTTGAAGGGTTTTAAAAATGGAAAGGTTGAGCCCTAACCGGTTTGGCTCAGTGGATAGAGCATCGGCCTGTGGACTGAAAGGTCCCAGGTTCGATTCCGGTCAAGGGCATATACCTAGGTTTCATGCACATCCCCAGTAGGGGGTGTGCAGGAGGTAGCGGGTCGATGTTTCTAACTCTCTATCCCTCTCCCTTCCTCTCTGTAAAAAAATCAATAAAATATATTTAAATAAAAAAAAAAAAAAAAGGAGAGGTTGAGGGCCTATCCTTCAAGCCTAATTAGCATAAAGTCTTTCTCAGGAGGTTAGTCATTTGGTCACCAGCGATGTTCTGAGAACATATTCCTTTTGAAGGGGATACAAATTGTGTGTTTATTCATCTCAGGGATGAAAACTCAATATATTTAATAGAATACAGCATGTTGTCCTGTACTAGACAGTTTTCTTTTAAATCAGTAAAATTGCCACATAATGAAGTGGGAGAGGGGGACGCTAACTTGGATGTTGGAAGACCTCGGTCCTTTGACTTGGTAGCTATGTGATTTGACCTAACTTGGTTAAACTTCAATCTTTTTATCTGTAAAATTGGAATAATAAAGATGACTCTGCTTATGCGCATAGATTTATTGTGAGAAATTACAATTAAAATTGGCCAACCTTAATTAATGCCTGTTATATTATGACATGGTGGTCCTTAGGGTACATTTTGGAGCTCCCTAACCTAGGAGAGTGAAAGTGCAAGTAGCAGTGCAGCTGAAGGCACTTTGTAAATTGTCAGTTACTATCTGGTTGTAAAGTGGCTTCTCCAAAACTGGACTGCTTCCTGGTGGCTTACAACACATTGTACACTTGTCCACCAACGACAGCTCAGGCTGTTTCCTGTGCTCATTAAAATCTGCCCATCAGATTTTAATTTTCAGGGAGTTTTCTTATCTTTCTAGACAGACCTGATTTCTCCTCTTCTCTATGCCAATAGTTTATAAATTTTTTCATAACAAAAGCAGAAATTTATGTTAAATTTTATTTATATGTGAACACAACTTGACTGCCTGAAGTCAAAATCTTTATCATTTATCTACCAGATTTCACAATGTCTACTGTTAATAAAGGCACTCAGTAAAATAATTACCTAATTCAGTGAAATATATGATCTGTGGATCCTTAATAATGTCTTTTATTGGGTTTGATTTTTAGGTTAAAACTTCAACAACAAATTGTGAATATTGAAAATGCAGAGAAAGAGAAAAATGAAAATTCTGACCTGAAACAGGTATGCTATTTAGCAAACATTTTGCTTTATTTTTTTAAAGGGCTTTTTAAAATCTATGTCTTGAAGCTTATTTCATTTCAGAGTGTTCTCAAGGGCACATTAGCTGGGTGGGGTATTTGTGAGGGAGGATGTTTAGTATCCTCTGCCGCCCTTATACTCTACTAAATTTGTTTAGTGGCCTTAACGTTTATCTTCTTTTCTTTTAAGCAAATCAGTAGTTTGCAGATCCAAGTGACCTCACTTACACAGTCAGAGAATGAATTGCTGAATTCAAACCAAATACTGAAGGAAATGGTGGAGAGGTTAAAACAGGAGTGCCGAAATTTAAGAAGCCAAGCTGAAAAAGCACAACTAGAAGTTGAAAAGTAGAGTTTGCTTTTTTTCTTTATGTACAACTATTTCTTTTTTTTTTTTTCCTGCTATATTATATATAGTTATTTCAATGATAATTCCACATTGAATGTGTTTTGGGAACTAGTTACAAACACCCTTTGACAATATACAGTGGTCTGAGGTAATACGTTTTCTATTTCTAGAGAATGAACTTTATAGACTTTTGAATTCTTTTAATAATAATAATAATAATAATAATAATAAGACATTTATGGAAGAAGGCCCTTTAAATTTCTCTCTGGCCATACTATTCTGAAAACCCTCAAAGAAAAACGTCTTTATTCATTGAGTAAAACAATATATTTTTACTTCAAATATCTAAATTAGTTTTCCGAATGCCACATAGGTATTAAGTTTGATTTTATTTGGGATGATATCTGTTTAATCCTGAGAGTTAATGTCCATGTTTTGCCTACATTCTTCTGATAGGACATTGGAAGAGAAACAGATCCAGTGGCTGGAAGAAAAGCAAAAGCTTCATGAACGTATCACAGACCGAGAAGAAAAGTATAATCAAGCTAAAGAGAAACTGCAGCGAGCTGCAATTGCCCAGAAAAAGGCAAGTGATTCTTATTACATTGATTTCTACAGAGTAAAACATAATTAACTATTTTAGGAGAATAAGATGTACAATGAAAACTGAGATTTTACTGGTTTAGTACTTAAATATGACATTTTGCTTTCAACCTTGCAGAGATAAATTGGGAAAATCCAAACTGCTCAACAGATTTATTTCTAAATTTTGTGTACAGGTCAGTTTTTCAGAGCCAACATGCATTTTTTCACAGTCTGTTTTTCAGTGATCAAGTTTCTAGAACAGCCCACACGAGTCTTATTTAACTCATTCTGCCTGTTTCAGCTTAACTAATACTTGTAACATTGCTTTTGTGGTTAAAATGCTTTTTTGTTTCCAACTCAGGAATATAGGAGCAAGTACCTCCTTGCCCTACAGGAGGAATTAGAACACCCCCACCCCCACCCCCGGCTTCTGAGACAGCCATGATAGTTCCGACAGCCACCCTCTTTTTAAGTTTCCCTTTTGCAGGCCTATTTTCCCCAGAACCTAATAATTTATTTTCTTATAAATAGTCCAGGGCATCCTGGAAATGATGTAGTGAGATGATTCACCTAAGACAGTGATTTCAACTTTTTTTCTACTTCAACAAACCCAAGGAGTATAGCATGATCCCTTTAGTAACCATGACTCACTGTGGCAGTGATTTAGCAGTTATTTCAACAAAGGTGGTGCATGTGTGTTGGGGTTGGGGTTGATTTAATATGTTTCCATTTGATAAGTTCCCTTAGTCATGGCATTTGCTTTGGGAGGTAAGAAGGTCTGAGATGAGAGCGAGGTGCTTATAGGCATAGCCACACCAGTGTCAATATCTGAAAGGTTAGCTGTTCACATTTGCATAAGAGAACTATAAATTATTTACATATTTTGATTGGGAAACCGGAGGACACAGTTCCTAGTCACCTATTTATGTATTAGCTATAACTGCCAAATGCCTTCTGATAGTTATAACATGAGAAGTCTAAAAGTAATTACTTCCCTATGTTTGTGGATTCTGAATATTGCTTTTTTCTTCCCTTAATGCTGAAAGTGGTGTCATATTGAGATTAGAAAACAGTATTTACAAATGGGAATTCCAGTGTTTTATACTCAAATATAAAGACTTGTGTTGTTGTTTTTCCCTTTGTATATCACTTTTTTTTCTTTCAGGCCATGGAAGTATTGTGTATCCTATGGGTATTGCTGGGTTTTAGTGCAGTTTATTATGGCTTGGGATGATCTTAGAAAGTATTTATGTGTTCTTGTACTGTTTGAAGCCTAGAAGCCTCTGAAGCCAGATGTTAGCTGGAAATCACTAGAAATTATAAGAGCTGATTTGATCTTTCACAGAGGTTTTAGAGAAAAGTATCTTAGAGATCAGATTCTAATTGTTGAGATTAGTTTGGGTTGACTTCTTTTGGAGCAAAAGTGACATCCAGTGGTGAGAGAGATTATCAACTAATCGCAGGTATACCAGAAAGAGAGGAGGTTTTATTTAAGGAGCCTGCAAAATAACCCTTTCGTTAATATTGTGACCTTGTATGAATTATTTTTCTACTGTAATGCCTATCAAGTAATGGGTGTGAACATAATAAATATCCATTTCACTTTTCAAAATGTGTGGATTATGGTTTGAAGTCATAGAAATTATTAAGCTCAACTGAGTGAATAATTATGACCCAGAATTGTTCCATCACGTGGGACACTGCCCTAAATACTGACAACTTTTAAGTAGATACAATTTTAGGGCTGGGAGGACTTTAGCACTCAGAGATTGGCTTTACAGATTAGGAACCTGAAGTTGTAGGTAGCCAAGATCATTTGACTACTAGAATCATTGCCATGATTAAAACCTACATCTTCCTATTCTCAAGCCTGTGCTCTTTTTGCACCGTTACTCTTTTAATTTCCCACTTTCTTTTATTCCAGATGCTTTGTTTTTCTCTTCTTGGTAGTCATAATACACATAAGAATTATTTTCTATGGCAGAATAATCACTAGAAAAATAATTTAACTCAAACCCTATACTGCTTCTATATGAAAATTTTGGCTGTAAGATTAAATAATGATTCATAAGAGTGCAACAGATTTTTGGATCCTTTAAATGACACAAATCATAAGTTTCTTATGCATTAAGACGAAAACAAGTCACAAAATATTAACTCCAGGGCAGAAATCATAATCCTTTAGAGTTATTTTCCTGTGAGAGGTTCTTCTAGCTGGGGAACTGCAGCTTTATTTTCCCCCAGGCTGGATAAGATGGCTCACTGTTTATTTGTGATTCCAGCCTCCTAAGCACAAAGCTTGTGTCATTTCTGGTAAGTGTTTCTGGTAGAGTCTTTGGTAATAATATTTGCCGTGATTTGTTTGGAAAAGCTTGACCAAGCACCTTGAGTTGGGAGGCTCTTCTTTATCGCTTCTCCACACATTGTTAAAGTGCGACTATACAGAGAGATCTCTTGGTATGAACACAATGAGTTGTGCTTTTCCTTTTGAAGCAGCACTTGAAGTGACAACTCGTCATTTTTATTCTAAGGTTTATCTCTCTGAAATAAGTCTTGGTTAGATACTGTTATGACTGGCTTATAAAAAAATGCACCATAGGCTCGAAGTTATAAAATATCTGTTGACTGTGAGGTGCAGCCTAGAGTTATGCCGAGGGGAAAATAAATGCCAGGATTGACTCCTGCTCTGATAATCATATAACCTAATTGGAGAAATAAGGTAACATGCAGTACCTAAAGAATATTATCACTCCCTGGTGATCTGTGTGCACACGAAAGTTTCAGAACTTGTGTGCCAGAGAGAGGAAATCTTGAAGACAGGGAGGCCAGTTAGGAAGCTATTATACTAAACTTAAAATGAAGTAAGATGTTTAGAATTTGGGCTTGGGGTATAGGAATGAAAATGAAGGGTGACTTCCAGAAGTATCCTGAAGGAATTAAAATAGCATGGTATTGGTATAAGGATAAACAAATTGACAAACAGAACAGAAGAGAGACCAAAAACGGACCCACAAGAATATGAACGCCTGGTTTACCACAAAGTATCACTGCATTGCAATAGGAAAGGATGGTGCTTTTTTAAAAGTGTGGTGAATCAGTTGGTTATTATTAACCAACCATGTTAGATTAAAAATGAATCTCAGACACAAATGTAAAAAGTTAAAAATTAAGCTGCTAAAAGAAAACAGGGAGAGGATCTTAAGATCTTGGTAGAAGTAAAGATTTCTTAAACAGGACATAAAAAGTACTAACCATAAAAGAAATGGTTGATAATTTGGACTTTATTAAAATTAATAACTTTTAAAAAACACAAAATGACACCCTTAAGAGAAAGAAAATATTATCACAGACTAGGAGAATGTCAGTCTGTAGTGTATACAGGGTGGGCAAAAGGAGGTTTACAGTTGTCCGTATGGAAAATAACAGAATAATAAATAATAATACAAGAATAGACTGTTTCACATACAACTGTAAACCTCCTTTTTTGCCCCACTCTGTATATCTGACAAAGGATTCATATTCTGAATATATAAAGAACTCCAGCAAATCCAATAAACAGATTATGCAAAAATTTTTTTTTAAACAGGCAAAAGACTGAGAGAAGCACTTCACAAAAAAGTGGTATCCAGATGGCCAATATGCATAATCACCCTGATTAGATGTCAGGAAAATGCAACCGAAACTACATTGACATACTCTCCTACTCCACCAAAAGAGCTAAAATATAAAAGACTGACCACACCAAGTGCTGACAAGGATGTAGAGCAGTGGGAACTCTCATGTATTGCTGGTGGGCTTGTAATTAGTAGAACCACTTAAGAAAACTGGCAGTATTTACTAAAGCTCAAACATGTATACCCCATGACTCACTCCTGGGTATATTCTCAAGAGAAATGAGTACATATGTCCACCAAAAACATGTTCAGAAAAACTTTATTCATGGCAGTCTCAAAATGGGAACATTCAAATTTTCATCAGAAGAAGAATGTATAAAAATGTGGTATCTGTGAAATGGATGACAGCATAACAATGGAAAAGGACTGTGACATGTAATAACATTACGTACACATATAAAGTGCTGAACAACAGTAAAAATCCAGATACAAAAGAGCTTATACTGTGTGATTCCTTTCTTTGACCTGGGGAGGTGGATGGATAGACATTGTGGTTCAGAATAAGAGAGTGGTTCCTCTGCAGCGTGGAGGGAGGAGGCACAGGCTAGTATTCTGAGTGCGGGAGGATGGGAGGCATTGGGAAACGTGAGGCAGAATACCCGTAGCAGTCAGTTCCCAACTGGACATAGCGAAGGTGATCCTTAATAGTGGACTGGGTAAATATAAAAAACTATGTAGCCCTAACCGGTTTGGCTCAGCAGAGAGAGTGTTGGCCTTGGGACTCAAGGGTCCCAGGTTCGATTCCGGTCAAGGGCATGTACCTTAGTTGCGGGCACATCCCCAATGGGGAGTGTGCAGGAGGCAGCTGATCGTTGTTTCTCTCTTATCGATTGTTTCTGACTCTCTTTCCCTCTCCCTTCCTCTCTGTAAAAATCAATAAAATATATTTAAAAAAACAACAACTATGTAATATTCATTAGTAGAATACAGGATGCAGCAATGAATGAACTGTACCTGTAAGCAATAGCATGAATAATTTTCACAATATTGAGTGAAAGAAAAAAGCCATTTGTAAGAGAATGTACACTATGAATCCATTCATGTGAGGTTCAAAAACAGGCAAAACCTTTACTACAGCTTTGGAAGTGAATTAGGTTACCTTTTCAGAGGACAGAGTGGATAGAGATTGACAGGAGGAAGGGAGGGCACTTCTGTTGTAGCAGTGTTGTTGATTTGTGAGGTGTAATAACACCAACATTTGCTTTGCGGTTTGACATTTTGCCTTACAATTTATGTTCTATGCATTTTTCTGGAAGTCTATTATACTGGGGGGGGGAAAGGGTAAGAAAACAAATACCTAATGTTCTGTAACTACTAAAGAGTATGGAACATTTATAAGTGTTTTTCTGAAAAAACAAAAAAACCCCTATTTTATAAAACTGAAAATAATTGTACTTGTTTTCATATACTACTTTTGCATTATATATCGATTTTTCCATATTATTAGAAAAATTTCCCTTTGTAAAGTTTTTTATTTTATTTTTTTAGTATTTAGAAAGATATGTTTTATACTGAAATCCACTCATAATCTATGTTAGCTTTCTGATCCTTTAATTTACCGTTTTGGTAGCAATTTATAAATTGCAAACATTTTTTAACTTTAAATTTTGGTTAGCTTTTTTTTTCTTTTTTTTTTAAATACATGATATCTTCTGTAAAAACTAAGAGCTCATGATTCCTTATCAGGTACCAGGCAAACTTGTTAGTAAAGTTAGTAAACTTCTTGTTAGTAAACTTCTTTGTTTTTAGATTTTTTTTATTTGCAGCAATTTAGTTATTGATACCAGTTTTCTTGTTTGGCATTCATAATAGTTCTGTTTGTCACACTGAGAATATGAGATAGACCTGTGGTTTATTATCTTTGCAATTTTCAGTAAGATTCATGTCTGCTAATCTTGGTTCCTAGTAGTGACTAAAAATACTCATCTCTAAATAAAATTGTTTTGGTGAGTAAAATATTCACTATTATATAGTTTTGTTCAAATAGGAAAGAAACCATGTATTTACACACTTGCTCATCTTGTTTCTTTATAGAGAAAATCTCTTCATGAAAACAAATTGAAGAGACTACACGAGAAAGTAGAAGTCTTGGAGGCAAAGAGAGAAGAATTGGAAACAGAAAATCAGGTGTTAAATAGGTAATGTGTTTATATGTATGTATATATACCCCATGTGGTTATTTTGATATTATAGAACTTGGTTTCTGGGCATAATGCACTTTGTTTTCTTTTAAAATATACATTTAAAAGAATTCTAAAACTATTCATTATACTCCTAATTTATTGTTCCTTTTTTCTCCACCCCACCCCCCACCCTGGACTAAATGTTCCTTCAAACCAAAAGGTATCTAACACATGCCAGTGTGTGTGTTATGGTTGGGACTGGAAGGAAAGGCCAGTCACTGGCTTTGGCAGCCAGGGGCGGTATGAGTTCTTGCTGTTGTGACAGGACAGTGGTAGTGATTGCATAGTATAAAATTGTGGCCACAATTTGGATCAAAGATCAGTTTTTGATTGGTGTGGTAAACTATTACTGGGCTATGACTTGTGGTTTTTCATTTACATTGAAGCGCAGCTAGTAATTTGCACAATAACATCTTTGAGCAGAAAAGATTTACCATATGAAGTGGTAGAGGCATTGTATGACTCAGTTGATTCAAGTTAATAAAAAAAACCCTGCAAATTCAGCTAATTAATGGTAGCCTTCAGCTTTCAGACAGTACCAGACTTTTCTGTAATGGAAATTGCCTATGATATCAAGCAGTGATGTTTTATAATGTGCCCTGGTCTTCTTGGGTATAACCAAAATGTGAACAGTTGGTTTTTTTTTATTTTTATAAAAACCAAGAGGTTTCTAGACTGGAATGAATGCCAACTTTATAATACTCTGTTCCAAAGTAAGATGCCACCAAATTCATTCTAAAACAAAATTCAACTTACTACCTCTCATAACCATTAACTTGGAAATTTGATCAATTCCAGATTAGGCAGCTGTGGCACAGGTTATCTAGAACTTTGAGTGATTTTGAAACTTTATTTGACTACTGATGTGACTGATGGTCAGAAAACTCATGTCCAAAAAGATTTGCAAAGGCCTGAAAAGCTATTTTTTATTCATGTCATTTTCCCCTAAAGTTGGGACTTCACTTATGTCACTAGCTATATTTTTAAAAATTAGCTTGAACAATATGAAATTCCCTATATTTGACCATAGTTCACCTCAAAAATGGCAATTTCATAAGATTCAAGCTAGTGTTTTTTTGTATTTCCGTTTGATTCCTTCTGTAAAATAAGGCATCCTTTGGGCTTAAGTTGTTTCCTTTTAGTTTCAGGATTCATGGGCTTGGGGAGTGGAGTAGAAATGAAAATAAAAGTATCAAGAGTTTTTTATTAATTGGCAATTAAAACTTTAAAATGAGCTGATAGCCTGCAATGCTATCGTAACAATAATACGTCCTTTCATATCTGTTTATCTTTCTTGATAGAATTTTATATACTGGGTGTCCCAAAAATATGTATACACACTTTGAATGATTATGAAGTGAGTGTTTAACATTTCAAAAGTTCATTTTCAAAATTTAAAAGAATCTACAGAAATGAAAAAATTTGTTTTGAATATGCCTGTTTTCAAACTGATGACTGTTCTGGTCCAGGCACTGCTGATAACATGAAACAATGGAATTGCAAACACTAAGATCATTTCATTTGGTATTTGTGCACCCTCAATTTTATTGACTGTTTCCAGTTTTGTACCGTAAACTTTATCTTTTATGTATCCCCTTTAAAAAAAAGTCTAGTGGCACTTTAGGATAAATTTTCTTTGTTCAAAGCTTAGTCTAGCTTCACCCATTATTACAAATCAGTTAAATCTTGGAGTGAAAATTAAATGAGTTATCAGCGTTAAAGTGTGTATACATTTTTTGGGGGACAGCCTATATATTAAATACAGATAAACCTTGTAATTTAGAAATCCTTCTCTTCCTATTTAAACTTCTGTATTAAAGAACGGACACTTTTTTTTCTCTTCAAGGCAAAATGTTCCATTTGAAGAATATACAAGGCTTCAAAAAAGACTAAAGGATATACAGAGAAGACATAATGAATTTCGAAGTTTAATTTTGGTTCCTAACATACCTCCAACAACATCCATCAATCCTGTTAGCTTGCAGTCATCAACCATAATTCCAGGCATGGAGCTAGCCTTTCCTCCTCATATGCAGGTATGAGCATTTATTTTAGGGAAAAGTTTAGGCAAATGTTTCTGTACATTTTTACCAGTTTATATACAGAGTTAAGAACTCAGATCTTTCTTTAACAGAAATATCCTGAGAAGCAAAGTGGGTATTAATCTATTTTATCCTCTAGTGATAGTGCTAAGACTAAAATCTCCTATTAAGAAATATATTTTTTATTTATATTTTATTTTTTAAAAATTCTCACCCAAGGATATTTTTCCATTGATTTATAGAGAGAGTGGGAGAGAGAGGGGAAGATATAGAAATATTGATGTGAGAAAAACACATTGATTGTTTGCCTCCTGCAGCACCCTGACCAGGACAGGGCCAGGGAGGAGCCTACAACTGAAGTACGTGCCCTTGACCAGAATCGAACCCAGAGCCCTTCAGTCCACATGCCAACGCTCTATCTACTGAGCCAAATCTAGTAGGGCCTATTAAGCAATTTAAAAGAAGGACCTGCCCTGGCCGGGTGGCTCAGTTGGTTGGAGCATTGTCCCGTACACCAAAAAGTTGTGGATTCAATTCCGGTCAGGGCACATACCTAGGCTGCAGGTTTGATCCTGGTCAGGTGCATGAAGGAGGCAACTGATCATTGTTTCTCTCTCACGTTGATGTTTTGCTATGTCTCTGTCTCTACTCTCACTTTTCCCCCCTCCCTCCCTCTCTTTCTCTCTCTTGAAAATCAATAAATACATCCTTGGGTGAGGATAAAAAAAAAGGAAGTTGATTGATGAATGTTTGAGTAATAACACTAACTACTACTGAGCATTTACTAATGCACTGCACTATGCATTTTCCATACAATATTTTATGTAATCCTAATGAAAAATGCTTTGAGGAAAGGTATTATTATTTCCAGTTTACAGATGAGAAAACTGAGTCAGAAAGGTGAAATGCCTTTCCTAAGGTCATAGCTAATAACTGACAGAGTTATGTCACTATTCCAAAACCTGGGCTAATTCACACTGTACTAGGTCCTCGAGATACTGAAGTTATCAAATTATTTGGATGATTTTCAGAAGATGAATTAATAAGTAATTACATTTTATAATGCTATAAAGTTTTAGTTACAGAATTGAATCTCAGACCAAGAGCTTTGTTTATAATAAACTAGAAGCCCAGTGCATGAATTCATCATGGCTGGCCCGCCCTGATCAGGCCCCATCAGGCCGGGCTGGCAGGGGGGAGGGGATGCAGGAGGTTGGCAGGCCAGCCCACCCCCTGGTTGAACTCCCAGTGAAACTCCTGGTCGAGGGGACAATTGGCATATTAGCCTTTTATTATATAGGACTAGAGACCTGGTACATGAAATTCGTGCAGCTCCTGGCCTGATCCCCCTAACTGCCTATCTGCTCTCCCTTCCTCTCAGTGCAGGCATGCTGAGAGCTCTCCACTGCGGCCCTGCCCCCGTGCTGATTGGTTGTTACATGACGGTGTCCCGACCAATTTGCATATTCCTCTATTATTAGTATAGCTTGCTATTAAACTCCAGTCTTATTAGAAAGTTGTCGTATAAGTACATCTAGACCCTGCATGAGTATTTTCTAATTACGCCCTGGCGAATTTTATACCTAGAGAAGGACAGATTTGGGGTTTTGCTTTACAGCCAGAGCTTGAGGCAGGAGAGATGCCTGGTCAGACTAGTCAATAGTCTGGCCCATGCTGCTGTGCTCTTAGATGGCTAAAATGGCCATCCTTGCTCTGTCATATGTGCAGGCCTGAACAAAAGAGGACTGAGGCTGCTGCCCAAGTTAGTTTTCCACCAGTTTTTCTAAGTCTCTTTTTCTGAGTCTTTTCTGTATTTTTTCTTTTTTTCTGTGCTTTTAAGGAGGAACAACATCAAAGGGAACTCTCTCTACTTCGTAAAAGACTAGAAGAACTAGAAACAACACAAAGAAAACAACTAGAGGAACTTGGATCACCTGGGGAATGATGTTTTTGGAGGAAAGGGATGAAATCTTGACCCAATAAAGCTTGAAGTTTTAACATATGTGGCATTTAGATATTTTATTACTGTTTGCCAAAACCCTTGAATTTGCCTCAAGAAAAGGTACCAGCTACATGCTGTAGTGCATGTAAGTCGGGATTTTAGGGTTATACTAAAGACAAGTGAAACATTAAAACAGCTTTAGAGATATTTAGAGTATCGAAAATCTTTTGAGAATGGTATAAATAAATGGAGCTAATTTAATTGAAGAATCAAATTTTTAAAATATTTTATTAATTTTACTTTGTTGAATTTTGGGGGCATGTTGCCTAAAATATGCCCATGTTGAATTTCTTCTTCCTCATCTTTGAGATGTTTGGCAATAACAGGGTCAGTAAACATTTTCTGGTTTACTATATACGAGTTATAAACCTCTAGTTCTTGAAAAAAGATGATAGTTTTAAAGTCAGCGTAAATAATACAACTTAAAGATATCTAAATATAAAACACTACCTTTTCTAAAATCTGTGTGCACATAATTTATTCAAGAGCTTAATAAATATTTTTTTCTATCTAGCTGTATTGTCTTTTGTTGGATTTTTTTCAACCATACAGTGTGTGTTTAGCAATATAGATCATATTGATTTTGACTTCTGAGATAGAATTAATAGAAAATAATAAGATTCAAATAATTAAATACTGTGGCTTTATAAAACAAGGGCCATTCATTGTAAAACTTGACCCCAGTGGAGTCCCTTTAGGCAGCGGTTCTCAACTTGTGAGTCGCAACCTTCGGAAAAAGCATATAGCATATCAGATGTTTACATTACGATTCATAACAGTAGCAAAATTACAGTTTTGAAGTAGCAACGAAAATAATTTTATGGTTGGGGGTCATCCACAACATGAGGAACTGTATTAAAGGGTCGCGGCATTAGGAAGGTTAACCACTGCTTTAGAGGTATCATTGGTATTTAACTTCACCTCCCACTGTGCTGGATCTAACCAAATTACTATAAATGTTTTATTTCTGTGCATCCCTAAGTATGCCATCATTTGCTTTTTAATGTAACACCATCCTTTAAAGGAATTCTGCTGGAATAACTTTACATCAACAAGGTAAAACTCAAGTCTGCCAAACCAAGTGAAATGCCCATTACCCAGAAGGCTTCATGATCAAGAGTTTTAAGTTGATAGTGGAGGCCAGCAATGTAATTGAGCAGCCCTTAGCATCATTTAGAAGAAATGAGATTTACTTACTACATACTACAGCTACTTATTCACATAGAGTATATGGTGACATCTTGTTCCTGAAAAGTAAATGATTTCCCTGGATCCACTTTGTATAATAATTTTAAAAATCTATTGTAACTAGCAAACTTGAAGGAAAAAAGACAAGAACAGTCCATATTTACATCAAAATGTTTATTTTTGGATATAGACATTTAAAACATTCATCTCCAAGAACAGCTTCAATCAGGTATACAATAAGAAATAGACTCTAAATCCCTATTACGGAAAAGGTAACAATTTTTAAGTGCTGCTGTAGACACTAGTGTTAGGAAAAAAAAAGTTTATAAATGGTTTTGCACCAAAAAAATAGTCAAAGAAACTTAAAAATATAAATTGTTTGCAGTTTGTTTCTCTGTTGCTGTTTAATGTAGATCCAGTGACTGATTGTCTCCAGCACAGGTCTAATTTGGCCATTTACTGCATTTGGCTAATGGGACCCAAAAATGTGATCTAGATAGTGCTTTTCACTGGAGGATTGACAAACACGCTACATATATTAGTGAATCTTCACGCCACCTCAGTGAGGTAGGATAGAAATATTATACAGAAATTGAGGCACAAAGAGGTAAGTGACTTGCCCAAAGTTCCCAGCAGCAGTTCCTGGAAGCGGAGGTGAGTCTCCACACAGGACTCGCACCACAGAGCTGGACAGGGACATCCTCATGGAGCTTTCACTAAGTATTCAGAGAAAGCTGTCGCTGTTCCTTTGAGTTTCCTTAGCATTTCTGTACCCTAAAGAAGGGGAAGTCTTTTGGGCAACTCTCCTACTGTTGGCTCTCAACTCTCCTGCTACTGTTCTCTTACAGACGCTTTCACATCAAGACTGTAGCAGCCTTAGATAGGGGCCAGACCTCTCACCTTAATACTTGTAAGTAACCTATTTGGTAGTTTTTTGAGGTGTGTCCATTGAACAGACAATGGTGAAAAGCGACGGGATTGGGAAGGTACCTGTCAGGGCAATAACTGCTTATTTTCTCTGACCAGTTTGTTGAGTTGTCACCTCTGACTCTTTACCAGATATTGAGGAGCAAGATAAATTGCATTTATCTCAGACAAATTCACAGTTAATCCTGATATCCCATACAGTGTTGGCAAGTGATTTTAAGGAATGTGTGATCAATGTTGTATTTGCTAAGTGAAGAAATGTCTTTCCTCAGTCTGGGAAGTGGAGCACCAAGGGTAGAAGGTGCCCCAAGGAAAGTCTGAGAGTTGCCAATTACACTTTCCTTCTGACTTACTAGGAGGAAAACACAGTGGTATTAAAAGTGGTCGTAAGCAGCAAAAATTCAGGAATAGAAATCATCAATAAAAAGACTACAGTGTAAACTGGATAGGAATTCTTTAAAAAGAAAGGCATGGATAAAATGAGTATTTTTAATTCTTTCTCTTGTGAGGAATACTTTCAAAAAGTACATAGTAAGACTAAGATACCAAGTTTTATACTAATATTTTTCAGGCCTTGGGCCTCAAATATATATATATTCATATATAATACTCCAGTGTGAACAGCAATTTCATGAAATGTAAAATGTATCTTTTCTTTTTTTTTTTTGAATCACACACAAGTATTTATAACCACAGGGTTCACTAGAACTCTAAAGCAAGGAGACACTAGGATAGAACTGTAGGATTAGGGGAGTGAGTTACTCTTCCACAGATCTGATTGAAGTTAACTAATGATTTTTCTTAAACATCCAACATGTCCACCATCAAATACATTTAGTTTGCAAAAAATAAAATGAGACAAAGTGTCTGGGTAAAATGCTGTTGCATTGCCATGAAGCCTGCTGCTCCTTGCGTTAGAGTCCCTTCGTGAAATGGAGGCGAGGTGGATGGAGTGACCACTGAAAAACACAGCCCTTTCAACAATGTTGCAACACTGTTAGTTTTTGGTTTAAAAACACACACGCACACACATACTCACAAATGCTAAGTGTACACACTACCAAATTCTGCAGCCAGCTTTCCAAGAACTACTGGGGAAAGTTTCAATGCTGCGAACCTTCCAGGCTGCCCTAACACCTCCACCTTGTTTCCAGTGTACTCCTTTCACGTTCTGTTTCGATCACTGGCAGCGTCCCTTTTCTGCAGAGCTGCAGTGTAGTCACAAGTGGTACATAACTAGTTTTCAAACAAAACCACTTGTATCATTGTGCTTAAGTGGAGACTGTAGTTACAATACTGACACTTGCTTACTGGCCCCGTATTCTCTGTAAACAAGGAGGCTGTTTGCAACAACCACTTCAGCTCTATTTACAGAAGGGTTCCCTGTACACACACAGGCACAATAGTTGGTATGCTTTCTAAAAGCTGTGCATGTGCCTTGGTCTCTTACGGACAGTGCTCAGAGTGGAACCTATGTGCAAACTTAAAAAATTAACGACACAGAGTAGCTCAAGCAGCCATTTTGCTCCCAGGTCGTCTGAAGAACTTTGCCAGATTAAGCCAGTGCTCACATCCACTTGCATTTCTTCTTTTCATCAAATAAGACTTTTACATGCAAGAGTTGTTTCTGAGCTTCTTCCAGCCCTCGTTCTCTTTCTAGTTTATTTAGAATCTGTTGACAATTAGAACAGTTATTTTAGATATTGTGGTTTTATCATTACAATTCTGGTTTCTTTTTCTTTGTGCATTCCTGATGCTGAGTGGTAAAATCTGTATGAAGCAGATGCCGACATTTTCTTCGATCATTTACATACTCACTTTGCAAGTTGTTTTGCTAAGTCATTATCACAGGATCAACAATACTTTGGCTTAAAATAGAAACTGGAAAGAAATACCAACTGTTTGCTTACAAATATGGGGCCAGACCTCCAAGGCCCTGTTTTATGCATTATGTCACAGCCATTCCAAGCACAGCAAGCATTTCTGGGCAGCCAACATGCAGGCAAGTATTTCTTCTTAAATGCAGCAGGCAGGGGCATCCTGGTTAGAGATGACCCTTCCCCTTCCCTCCCCTCCCATCCTGGGCAATCTAGTCCCTCTCCCATTCTCTCCCCTCCCGCCCCTCCCCAGTGCTTCCCTTCTAACCCCTGGCCCCTGGAAAGAGGGATGCTTATCATGTTTAAGGAACTCATTGCCTCTACCCTACCTTAGCTCTTCACTTGATCTTCAAGTAGCAAATGGACTTGGTGAGCTATTCTCACCATTGACATGGATAGCCTGTCCCAGCATGACTGAGTGGGGGGAATCAGGGAAGGGGGAATTAACATATATTTGGAAACAACACATCTGATGACTGTGTGAATTCCCAAAAAAAAAAAAAAAAATTTTCAGATTAAGGAGAATTAATCAAGGATAATGTTTTATTGAAATAGCTACTTAAGTTAGAAAATGTCATACTTCCATTTAACCATTAAATACAGAATTTAGGCGATTTGACAAGCTTAGCTTTCATTTTAGCAGTTTACAATCAAGCATAAGCTGGCCCCGTTTAATAGGACCACTACTCATCAGAGTTAACGTTAACTTGAGTCAATGTGGCTGTAGGCCCCATAAACTCATGTAAGTTCAGGCTGGTCCGAAGGTGGGCCATAAAGCTACGGGGCAGCAGCCATGTGCAGGGTCTGGCGAGGAGCCAGGATCCCCCATCAGACAGGCCCCCTGGCCTCCCGTTTTTGCCATTTGGGATGCCAGAGCTGTCCTGAGACCTGTCGAAGGCTTCAGAACCAAATCCTGGGGACTGATTCAGATCAATATTTTAAAATGTCATTTAAAATCTTACCTCATCAAAATATTTTACGATGTATTTGTAGATTTCTGTCAAGGCC